AGACAATATAAATGCAGAGCTTGACTGCTGTAGGAATATATATAACCACTAACACATGAAGTAACAAAATAATGAACATCTTTCTTAAAAATTAAAATCAAGATGGTGTGATCTCATATAATAGACTATGTAAATTGATTCAGCAATCCCTAAACATTACAGTAAAGGGAAGAAAACTAAAAACCCACAAACAATAATCATTGGAAATTTTCATTTTTCTTTTTCTTAACAAAGTATTATCCTTGCTTAACAATTATCGCTTCACACATCCTTTCTCGGACTCGTTGGTTAATGTTTGACGCTAATAAAAATGTAAATAAAATCACTTTCAAAATAAAAACCAACTAAACAATGTAACAAAAAAAAAACAAAGAAAGAAAAAGAAAATAGAAAGCCTTATAAAGCAAAACAAAATTTTGATATTGACGAATGAATATCTATAGGCTGAAATTGAAATAGATCGTTGATGACAGTAATGAAATTATGATCAACTGAAATTTAATCAAATTATCCTATTATACAACAATCAAATTTAAAGCAACAAAAATCATGAAAACTACTAAACCTATGCCATTACACTTTCTACAGCACATGAATAAACAAGAAATCAATGAAAATTTATCTAACATTTAAACCCTATTTAATAAAAAATATAATTTTTCATCCACCCTAAAAGTCCATATGTAGAGTTCTTGGTTCTCTTCAAACTTATTAGTAGAGACGACATTATTCCAATGCTTTGAAAGGTTTAAAGTATAGGTGTTCTCCATATCCCACTTCTTCAATAGTAAAGTGAATTCTCTAAGACATGGGTCCAACACATGCACTTCCACACCAACAAGTTTTCCCTTTCCACTAGTGCCTTCTCTTTCCTTCAATTTTGCAATCTCAGTTTCTGTGAGGAAATCACACCTAATTTCGTTTCTTGGCATTGACAAACGATTTTTATTCGTGTCCAAATCTGAACGATAGAGTTTCTTTTGCATGAGAAATGTAATATCACCACCATTTAACTCATTGACTCGATTCTCGAATTCTATGGACAATTTTGGTGATGGATGCTTTATCTTAATTTTCTTTCTCGATGTTTGGTTCTCTGGCATGTCTTCTTCCTTAGACATCTCACTAATTGGTCTACATGAACAAACAAAAGTCATACATTTAATATATTTACTATAGTATTTAATCAACATAAATTGAGTTACAATTGTGTACCTTTTTCTAGTATTCTTTTCCCTTGATCGCAATCCAAATCCTAGATGTAGCTTGGAAAAATGATTTATTTGAGCAAATTGTTCTTCACTATAAAATTGTGGTGCATGTTGCCATAATGCCACGTCCAAAAGTTTAGGCACAAAGGGTTTGAACGTTATCTCGTTAAACGCCTCCCAATCTGTAATACTTGCCACTAATTCTTGTAAAGTTTTCAAGTCCCTCATGATGCTAAAAAGAATCAAGCTTAAGAGTAGAAAAAGGCAAATGAAAGAAAAAATAGTGGTGAAAAGAAGAGGGTTTCTTTTACAGTAAAAGAATGTGTGAGAGAGTGAAAGAAAATAAGTTATAAATAGTAAGAAAAATAAAGATACAAAAAAAAAATATTGATAAGAAAAGATTATAAAATTTTAAAAATAACATAATTTAATTATCAAAGATAAATCTCCTTTCAAGAAAATCAAGAAAATTATAAAAGATAAAACTATCAATCATAAATTTCACAATAACTATAATTAAAATTATAAAAGACGTAACTACTTATATCATTAATTTTAAAAGATCCTAATATCTTATATCTTGTTTCACATTGAATCTTTTGTTATACTTTTCGATCATATGATAATAACTTTATTGTGATTTCTTTTCTATGATTTTGGATTATTAAATATTGGAGGTAATGCAATTTCACTATAAAAGATTTCATTTTTCATTTTTTTCCTTTTTCCCCCTACAATGTTTAAATTTAATTTGCCCTGTCGTGGGACTGCAATTTGAGGCAGGATGGCAAAATAATATATCTTCCCATAATCTATCTGGTTTATCTATATTAAATTTAATTGTATCTATCTAATTGTTTTATAAAAAAAATACGTGGATCTAATTATTTTCAATAATCAATTGTTTCCTTTCTTTTTCAAGCTATTTTATTTACAATGGTGATTTTTTTTTTTATAATTTATTTTCAACTTAGATTGTCTATTCAATCCTTTCCTTACAGTTTTGGATCCTAACTGCTTCCAATTAATTAATATAATTTTATTTTCTATATATATATATATAGATATATATATATATATATATTCCTTCTTTCAATATTTATTTAAGCGTAACAAAAAAAATGCAATTACCAAAATCTATCTAATTCGTCTATATATATAAATTCTATTTCAAACCAACCACTTATGTAAAAAGAAAATACTTTTATTAAATGGGGTGAATTATATGATTAAATTAATGGAAGGATAACCATTAAAAATAGTATGATTAAAAATCTTATCTTATTTTTCAAAATTAATGAATTATCTAATTAACACTTTTAATTTTTAAAATTGGCGGAAGTATGAGTAATTGGTATGCATGATATAGATAAAGATATTTGATACACTTTTTAATAGGTTTTGATCGGGATCTCATTAGAAGAACAATATAAACTAACTTATCGACTGATTTATCTTTCAAAACTAATTATATTAAAATATTCTTCTCGCTTTTAATTCTATATATGCTATTATACGGTTGTATTTACATATTAATTAAAACATGTCTTTCTAAAAAAACTTTGCCGCCCAAATCTCTTGAAACCTAAATGCACAAAGTCACAAACACGGTGGTTTTACTTTTTATTTCATTAGTTTTTTTTATTTGTTTTATAATTGATAAGAAAGTCTTAGAAGAAAAATATATTATATATTTAATTATACTTAAAAATTAGTAAAAAAAAATGTCTTTATAGTATACACATTTTCATAATCGTTTTGTTTAATATATTAAGAATTTCATAAACTTACTCTTTTTAAAATTTATTTTTCAAACTTCTTACACCTTCTAAATATATATTAAAGACTCTTCACATCCTATTGTTAATCACTTTCATATATTTAGCTTCAATTATTTTTTATTATTTTTTATTTCTATCTTTTAAATAAAAATACACAAAAGCACAAAATATTTAATTATTTTATGCTAGTAAAAATAAAGGTAAACTCTACTTGGCATATTATTAACTCATGGATTTACGAATGTTTGTTGATTCCAACTAGTACTCTGCTCGCTACTCAAATCTCAAAAATTTTAAATTTGAGTCTTGAATTTGATAAAAATAATGTTGGAAGGAACAATCTGATGAACGATCTTGGGTCAAAGGTCTAATTACTAAAATCATGAGTAGGAGCACAAGCTTAGCTTTAAACCCTAGTTAGCTTAGTTTCTCTCACAAGCTTTTCCACACCTATATATATCTTACACACTTGTAGCTGACCACTTTTTGATAATATATGAGTTTTCACTTTAGAAAATTCTCTCAAAGAGTCCTTAAGAACCGTAAGGAAATTCTCCCTTCTTAAGCTCCTTCACAAAGGAATCTTTCCTTTGTGCTTTAGTGCTTCTTCTTCCTTCACTTGCGAGAACAAATTAACCACGGATCCAACACCTTCTCCATGAGTTTGGAGTCACCTTCATCCATTGGAACCTCAAAGGAAGATGTATGGACATTAAAGGAAGCAAGGAGAAGAACATCCGTCACTTCTTCTCGCTTGTTCTATCACAATCTTAATGCAGCCAAGTTTCGAGAGAGACTAATTTTCTGCAAAGATAATATATGTTCTTGCCAATACCATAATAATAGTAATAAAATACATGAATTTCCTTTTTTTATTATTATAATTTACAAAATATTATATACATTATTATTATACCATTATTTTGTTATTATAATATGATATTTATATGTATGTATAATATGTCTGTAATTTCTAATATAGTTATAATATTATTAATATATTATAATAAATATTTATTTTTATATAATATTTTTATTTGTGAAATTATATTAGTATAGTTGTAATATACTCATGTATGGTAATGAACCCAATAATGATAGAAGGAAGTACAATGACAATTTATGTGATAATTTAATTTTTTATTTTTATTTTAAATTGTTTATTTTAATCTAAAGATTGTTATTAATTATTTAGATATTTGTAAGTATTTTCACTCAAGTCCTCCTATATGTATGTGTTTGCAGGTGTTGTTTTAAATAGAAATGAGAACTATTATAATAACTTTTAAATTATAAATAGAAACTTTTAGCTAAAAAGTATTTAATTCAATAAAAATAAGGTATTTTTAGATATTAAAAATACATTATTTAAATATAATAATTTTAATTTGAAATATTTTAAAAATAATCAGTCACTAAATTAATATATAAAATTTTTATCATTATATAAATGGATACTCATTTTAGTGATCACTTTAGTTTCTATTTTTATATGGATCATTTTTCCCTTTTTATTCTACTAAGAAACCTAAACTATTCTTTCTCTCTCAACGTCTTTGTCTTTTTCTTTAGTTTTTTTTCTCTCTAATTTTATACTATATTGTTACTACTTATCCCTTTAAATAACTATTTGTTTCATTATTTACCTTTTTATTTATTTTAAAAAAATATAAAGGATCAAAAGTTAGAGTGTCTTTTTTCTTTCATCAGTGAATATTAATGAATAGATAACTTAGTAGTTTGTTTTTTGTAATTATGATATTAATACAAAGTATTCAATAAAAGTAGTGACTAATCTCCTCCAGAAATTTGAGTGCATACAAAAGGACTATTTTTTTTCTTCAATATAACTCACTTCATACCTAAGATCTGAATTTCAACCTAGTCTTTATATCCAAGGTTAGGATTCGAACCTTAAACAACTTGATTATGAAACACAAACTACTATTACTTGTGCCAATTTTATACGATCCTTGCAACAAAAATATGAGATTGTAATCCAAATAACACGAAAATAATAACATTCACAGTCATAAATAAGTTGATTACACTTGATAAAAAAAACTAATTAAAGTGGAACAATATAATCTTTACATATACATTATTATACACTACGTATAAACTTCTTAGGTCTTACATTCCCTTCTATACACAAAGTATCTCCTTTGTTTATACTTGCTCCGAAAAAATATATAAAGATACATTCAAACATATGGAAAGGTTTTAGTAATTGAGGTTTACCAAATAGCAATTTCAAACTACTAAATCTCAATGTGAACTACTTCCCCTGTTTCAACTCTGCATCCCAAAACAAACAGTGTTTTAGGTTTCAGATAATAACTAGATTGCAATAACCTTCATTCCCATTTGCACATAATTTGATGTGTGTGCTTGAAATCATAAGTTAGCACCAAACCTCTATCCATTCTCCTAAATACAAAACTCTCTACAAGCACATAGCAACCAAATCTCTCCCACTTGTTAGTTCCTCTAAACTCCTCTACTCTCACCACACTCTCTTGCCTTCCATCACTTGCTTTCCATCCAACTCTCTCTTGCTCCCATTTCATTCTCCCAACCACTTCCAAACTCAATCCAACCCTCATCTCTCTTCCATCGTCACCAAAACTCCTAAACCATAATATCCCTTCAACCACACCATTTTCATCCCAAACAGCATCTCTTCCTGCAACCTTCACCACTTCAGTTTGGATAGCAACATCTACAAGCACAGTATCTTCTCCACTGTTTTCATTTTCCTTTGAAAATATCTTCTCCCATCTTTGCACAAGTGTGACCTCATAGAACATTGACATTTTCATCTGCTCCTTTAGCCCCATTCCTTCCTTCAAAAACATGAAAGGGCAGTACCACTTTCCAACTTCCACTGATTCAGAACTACCATTGGACACTGAGAAGTTGAAATGTGGAAGCTTGGAACGCAAGGAATCATTGGGTCCTAAAGCTTCATGCAACTGGTAATTGCGGGGAGTTCTAGCCTCAACATTCCAACCTTTTGTCCTCAAGAAGCGAGGTGGAATTCCATCTGGGGCAACAGACTTTGCCTGAAAACCATGTCTCTTCTTGATTATTTCAACTTGCTGATAATCATCAGAGGGAGCCAAAGCTCTTGGTTTAACATCTTTCACAAAGCTGCAGCATAAACAAGTGGTCTTGTCCTCTTCCTTTGAACTTGTACTCGCTTGGCTGAAATCAATTCAGTTAATGATTAAGGGGTGTGTTTCATTTCTGCTTTCAAAAACTCTGTTTGGTATTATTTAAGATGCAACTAACCAAAATGAAATGAACTTATAAAAACTGCACTGAATTGAATTAGGAATCAGTTCAGCGAATTTGAAATGAATTACACTCCAATAGTTTTGTTGGAAATGTGCCTTTAATTACTAGCAAAGTAGTTTTAATTTTAGTTTGAATAAATCAATTAGTCAATTGATAAAAATATGTTATTATGTTGTTAGTTAATTTTATTCTCTAGTTATTGGTAACGTTCCTAAAATCATTGCTCATGATTTCTATTAGGTTATTTCGATGTATTTAAATATGTCATATTCAACAAAATATAATATACTTTCCATCGAAAAACAAGAGTCATATTGTTTTGTTATTCTTCTGTTTTTCTATATCCTAAAACTAAAATCAACTAGTTTGAATTGAACTCCAATCTAAATGTTTGAGCTACAGGACTACCTCACAAGTAAGTATATATATTTATATAATGCTTCAAAAGGTCGAAGAGATTATAAGAGTCACCTTAAACTCAAATAGGAGATAATATTAAAGTTAGTTGATGCATAAAATCCGAGATGCAGTTTTTCAATGAATTCTGATGGTCTAAAGGTTAAAATGGTATATCATGATTAACTAATTAACATATAAAAAATGAACACATACCCTTGATGTTTGCCCTGCCTTCTTATGACGTAGTAGCAGTTTGAAGAAAGTGGCTGATTCAATACTGGGATAAACAAGACCTTGTCCCTGTGAGTATCAGTGCTTTCACCTGAACTTGTTGTGTATGTGGTGGTCAAGTTCTTGTCCTGAGGAAAAGGAAGATGCTTGATTCTTGGGTCCTCACACAAACCAAAACAAGTGTAAGTAGGGGGTAGATCCCAGATTACAAGATAACCTGAATTTGGTCCAAATGGAGGTTCTGAAAGAGCACCAGGGTTACTCTTGTACATAGATATTGGTCTTGTCACATACATTTTTCTTGTTCTTTTTTCTCTCTTTGATTTTTCTGTTATGTTTCTATAGCGATCAATCGTTGTTTCTCGTGAATATATAGGACTCCAAGGAACGATACAAGTACCTGTCATTGGTGTAAATGGATAATGTGTATATATATATATCAAGATAAAGTAAATTTGAATACTTGTCAATTGGTGAAAGGATGGTTGAGAATAATATTGTCTGAATTTTGAAAAGTTCAAATTTATCAACTATTTAAAACTCAATTTCAGTAACGATTTTATTTTATCCTTGTCAGGTACTTTTTCTTATTTTTCAATGGAGTTGTAATGTTTCAGCAGCATTTTTGTTACACTATGTCGTAATAATAAAATTAAAACATATATTTCAACACACTCAATACATTTTATTTATCCAATAAATAAAGGGTAAGAATTAGCGATATTTTAGTTTAAGAATATAATATTCCTTGTCGGCGTAGCACATGTTCAGCTCAGAGGAAATATGGTGGATGCAATTTCAAGGAAATTTCCTCGGAAAGACGTGTTTTGATTTTTGTGGTCCTTAGTTTACTTCTTCATAAAGAAAATTAAAATACTGGGTGCTGTTATTCAACCAAAGCAGAAGAGTCAATTAGATATTTTTATGGTACACTCAATTACATCTTATAATATTGAAAAGGTCGAATGCGTATAAAACTTCAACTAAAACATAAAATTTAATAGATCCGTGTAGTTAAAAATATTTACAAAAAAATTATTATAACTAAAAATTTTATAATTAAATCTTCTTACCTTTGGTATAGTGACAAGAAAATTTCTTGTGGTAACTATTTATTTTTTTATTATTATTTGTTGTGAATGTTTATGATTAAATCTCTAATTTTAATATGCTAATTGTTAAATTATTAAAATGTTATATAATGACATGATATTTATTATTATTTTGTTTTTAATTTAATGTTGAATCTTTAACAATATTTTACTTCTTTTATTAAACATGCAACAAATAGGGAAAAAAATACAAAAAGAGAAGAAATAAGTACAATTAAGGGATAACATGAAGCAAATATGAAGGTTAACCATGCATGATAGTACTTGGAGTGTAAACATGATTGTGTTTGTCAAGTATGTACAACCATGTTATAAAGTATAGTCCTGCTTGTCAAATATGCATAACCATGTTAAGAAGCACGATCGTGCTTGTCAACTATGCAAAATTGCGCTCTAAAACTTTCTAAATGACAAAGTAGGTCCTTAACACTAATAAAGCACACACGTGCTATGAAACACGATTGTGTTTCTTGTTTTAATGAAGCACATCCATATTGTTGATCATGATGGTGTTTGCTGAGATGCATGATCATGCTTAAAAGTTGTTATATATTTTTATATATGTAATGTACCCTTCGGATCTCCAGTTGGCCGAGCAAACCGATCAATGGCTCTTCGTGTCGTTAACACTCAAGTTAGAAGGGTTGTGTACCCTCCGAATCTCCAATTGATAGAACAGGCCGATCAATGGCTCTTCGCGTCGCTAATGCTCGGGCCAAGAGGGTTGTGTTCCCTTTAAATCTCCAATTGGCCGAGCAAACTAATCAATGGCTCTTCATGTCGCTAACGCTCGAGCTAGGAGGGTTGTGTATCCTTCGAATCTCCAATTGGCCGAGCAAACCGATCAATGGCTCTTCGCGTCACTAATGCTCAAGCCAAAAGGGTTGTGTACCCTCCGAGTCTCCATAGGCTTATTATGGGAGACATCCACGCGCATTTCAGGGGATTAGGGTCAAAGATTCATATGATGGATATGAGACCCATATAAATAAGGAGAAAGGGGATTCGTGGAGAGGCAGGTCTTTTTTTTGTCACTCTTAAATATTCTAGGTCAGGATGACAACTAGATTCTCTTAGAATTCACATCACTAAGAGTTTTTCGGTTGCTATCCCTTTACTGGAACAATATATAAATAGGGATGTCTTGTGATCATTTAGCTTTTAACTTTAATTTTTCATATATTTTTCTCTCTTTCTTTCGTTATTGAAATTTTGTAAGAGACTAAATGTCAAATCCTTAGAGAAGGATTCTTCCAATTATAGTTATTCCTTTTCCTCTACAGTTTCTAGCAACATGTTTGACTAGTTTATCTATTTTAGGGTTATAATATAATTGTTCCTCATGAATTCCAATGATGAATTTCATGATTTACTTTTTGTTAATTGTCTTATTATTTTAGTGTTTTCAATTCTTATATTGAAAGTGCATGATCAAACTCTTTTAATTAATAAAACCCTAAAATAATTGAATTCTAGAAATTTACATGATCAAACTAATTTTCTTAATTCCCAATTGTATTAATTTATTAATTTGTTAATATTTGTGCATTTATGCTTTGTTTTTAGAATAAATCTCTTATAATCAATTTCGAATCTTTTTAAAATAAAGATTGCTAGTTTCTCAAAACCAAAGGGTCCTTAGCAATTTCACAAGTAAATTGATGTAATTACTTTGTGATTTATGATGTTTATCTTGTGGGGATTAAGAATATAAGTCATAATTCTAGGATTTTTATCTCTGAATTTTAATAATTTTCTAGTATTTTTTTTTAAAATTAATAATCTCTCCAATCAAATATTTCTTCAAACTACTGAAATTAAGATTAAATTGGTAATTGTTGAAAACTGATAATTTATGATTCTTCATATTCTTTATTTTATATGCCTATGTTAGTATGTAAGATAGAGAGTATTACACTACTCTCTGTCTTTAAACATGTATCAATATTAGCATTTTAGTTACATTTGTTTTTTGAATTTTTGACGTATTTGATTGTCAATTTTTCACTTTTAAAGTTTTTTTTTTTAATTTCCTTTGATTTAAAGACTAATATAACAATATTTTTTTTTTCAAATTTAGGGTTCAAATTGACTGATTATTCCAAAACTTACACAATTGAATTTTTATATATATAAAAAAATAGTAAATAAAGTTACATCTCAACACTATTTTATTTAAAGTAGTAAATGCATCATGTATGACCAGTACTTTTTCACTAGTGATATCAGTGAGTCTTTGGTGATTGCTAGCATCAACAAGAAGCCTTTTAGTTCTTTAAAGTCATAGTAAAAACACCAACAATAATCATTTTAATGATTAGGATAAAATTTTCCACTTTCTTTCTTCAAGCATCCGTCATAAAGTTGACATGAGTCACTTGGATATATATATTGTAACCAAAAAATAGTCCAACAAGGATACAAATACAATTGGTCAAGTCAGTGACATTTTGAATGACAAACAAACGTCCAAATAAAATACTCTGCTTCTATCTTCTTCATCGGGAAGACTACTAAAAATAATATGCCAAAGTTAGAACAAATGTACATGTATATATTGGGATTATATTCTAATTTCGCATATTTCTAAAATATTTGTTAGAAATATTGGAAAAAAAAAAAGGAATTTAATGCTATATATAGGAAGTGACTATCAAGATAGTCAAAGGACCAAGCCTAACATAATGGCTATTTGATTTAGTAGTTTGAACTTTGAAATAACCTATTACAAACAAGTTATGAATTTTACGTTGTGTTACCCAACCTCAAAGCACTTGTCCATAAATGATTCTTTGAATCAATTTTCATGGTTGGTTCTAGTTATGCTGCATCATATAGAAGTGTGAAACGATTTTTATAACCAAAATAAATATGAAAGTTAAAACTCAACTGTTTATTTTAAAATAATTGAAATTATAGACTTTGATCAGAAGTGTACATTACATGTACAATTGTACTTACCAGTTGAGTGATGAATCTAACAACATATCTCTCAAAGTCAGAATATAATTCATCAATCTCATATAGAGATATTAGGATGGATATCATAGTCAACTTTTTTGTAGAGAGTTGACTCCTTTATGTCCTATTATTTGCCTACACCACCAATTCCAAGTTAGGAGAAATTGCTCCCGAGTTTGTTGAAATGTGCTTCATATCTATATACATTTAGGAATCCAATGTTGACGAAAAAGAGACATAAGAAAGGGGAAGAATAAAACATTATGGATAAAACTAGAGCTTCATAAACTAACTAGAACACTATTGTACAAACATATTTATATACATGCATATTACCATATTATTATCCTCACATCTCACTTAATAATCATAATCAATCAACATCATGATCAATCATAACAACGAACCCACGAGTTCATACCAAGTTCACAATGACCATCAACAAATTGCTGGTATGATATATAATGAATATTTTAGCAACTATTTGTTTCACAAGAAATGATATTAGTTTGCTATATGTTCGCAGCAATATATCATAGGAAGTAACATTGTGAAGTTTAGTTTAAATTAAAAAATGGAAATAAAGACGAATTAAGTGAAAAGAGAAAATTAACCTGTTTAACTGGGAGTGAGAACTCTTTTAGGTCATTCTCTAAGGCATGCACAATCTTTCCAATGCTCTAATCAGTGCTTCACAAGATACAATACATAAATAGCACTGTAGAAATTGGTGGCAGCAAAAACACAAAGCGGTGGTCCATTTGTTTGATGCATTATGCTGGTGATAGTAAAGCAGAGTTCTTTGTTTAAACACATATCCACATTGACACATGCAATTTGTTTTTTTTCAATAGGTGGCACATTATACTTTAACATGATACATGAAATAGACACATATAAGACAATGTCGATCAAATTACTATGTCCAATAAATTCCTTATATCCCACAAATTCATCCACCACATTCATTATTTGGTTGCACATTCTGTAATATCTTGAATTTTTATACAATATTATAATATTTTAAATTTTTATTATCATTATTTTATTTTTAAAATAATAATCCAAATTTCTAATTACTATATTTTAAAAATAAGAAAGAGAAAGTATAATGTTTTATTTTTAATACTTTAAAATTTTTATATTTTCAGTAAACTAAAATGGAAATATATAATTATATTATAAAAATCCTATTTATAATATTTTTTAAAATAATATTTTAATT